CGCCCCCAGGCCTAGAGTAACCTCTGCTGAAAGGATGCAAAAAATCCTCGCCTGTAGCGGGAATAAGAGTTTTCTTAACAGAAAGAGCCCTTGCTGTAGTGCACACTATCACTTCTGAGGTGTCATGGGGGGCCGTGGGGGCTGCACCGAGGGGCAGGGGGTTGCCTGGGGTGGAGAGGAAATACCCAGAGCAACATGGCCCGTCCCCTGGGGCTGAACCCAGCACCGAGGAGTCCGATCCACTGTGTGTAAGAAGGTGAGAGGAGAGTGGTGCTGGTGTCGCGCCCTGCCAGGGCCAGGCCCGGGTCTGGGCTGGGCTGCGTTGCTCCGCTGCCTGGAGTCCAGAGCAACATTCTCTTCTAAGAAGAGTCAGCTACATCTCGCCTGGTGTCGATGGGCCAGAGTGGGGTTGTAACGGTGTTCCCCTCAGCACCCTCCAGCCCCACAGCTGTCTTGCTCTTGGGGAATTCAGTAGCATCTAGATGATAGGCAAGATTGAAACCACATTCTCCCCTCCACGCACAAGAAAATGCAAGGTTAATAGGCTGGAAGAATGAAAAAAAATCCCCCAAAACCCACCGCAAACCTCTAAACACTGTCAACTGGTGCTTAGGACACAGAAGAGGGAGAGCTGTGTTTGAATCGGGACTGCAAGACTCTAGCCTTTCCCATCGTTTGCTAGCAGGAGCCTTCTTGGGGAGAAGACTGGTCCTGGACTGACACGTGCTTCCCAAACAAAAGCTTTCACCACCTTCACATTATACAGAAGGCACACTTCCCTGACCATCAGTGTTTCACAACACTGTGTGTTGGAAATGCATGTTTTGAATTGGCCCTCGCACGCAGGTGGGCAAGAGCGGGAAGTTTCTGGATCTTAATAGCTCTATTGCTTAGACAGGCAAAACAAGGGTAGTTTGACTTTGCCTAAATTTAGACAGCTGCTGCACAGGGGCTTTTTGAACTGCAAGAGGGCTGGCCTGCTGCAGATTTATGGCCTTTGTTCCTGTAATCCCTTCATCACAATTAGCCCCTTCATCCCCTTAGTCAAGAAGCACTAGTGCTGACCAGCAGCAGCTGGATACTCAAACATCTGAACTTTGACAGTCTGTCTTTCCTGCCCCAGTTATTCAGACAACTGATTCACAAGAACCTCAGTCATCTCCAAAATCCTTACCCCTCTTCAAATTGTAAATAAAACTGGCCAACATGCCTAAAAGTTACATGGGTCAAAAAAAAAAAAAAACAAACCTAAGAGGTTTTCCTTTAACAAGCAGAACAGTAGAAATCTCAGTTGCTTAGTAAATGCCACCTGCTTCAGATGCTTTACCAGCATCATGGACAACACTTACTTGGTACTATATCTGTCCAACTGTGATTTAGGAGTACTCTTCAAGCAACTATTTGTTGTATTTCTTGGGAGAATATTTTACTTAAAGTAAAAAAACAACTAAGTTTCTGTGCAAGTTTGTGAAATGCAATCCTTCTAAAAAATCTTCCTGCTATTCTACAGGTACAAAGCAATGAATTGAGGAAAACTGAGGAAACAAGGAAGAAGGAGCAGAAAACCTGTATACATATCCCAACTGCAAGGAATCACAGATATGCTGCTGATTCATGGAGATACAGTTAAAAAGACTTAGAACGATCACACTTTTAAAGGCAAGTCAGCAAGTCTCCCTGAAGACGAAAAGGAGAGAAAGATTCTGCAGGAAGCAATAATGAGAACAACTGTGAAATCACATTTTCTGATCTTCACTGTCAAGTAAGAAACCAGAATATACCAGCTAGGCTCTGCAGTGCTAGGGACACACTTCAGTTCTGCTGAAATCTAATTTTCTTAGAATCTGGATGTGAGTAGGAGCCTTGCATTTTCAGTTCTTCGGTTTTCTTTTCCCATTGCCATCCTTTCCCAACATTTCCAGTTCTTAAAATCACCATGTAGAAAAAAAAAGAGCAACGACCTCAAAGGGCCAATGTACAACAGGTGCTGCAAAGATATTTCAGGGAGATCGAGGAGAAATTAAGAACATCTAGAGAGATAAGAGAGGAACTGCATTAGAAAGTGGTCACATCCTAAGCAGACAGGCAGAGAAATATGATACAGGATCAACTGGAGGAACTCCAAAAACCCTTCCGTAAAGCAAAGGCCACAACTGAGATGGAGAAGCTGAAACTGAACTACCAAATTTAACATCTTTACTATAATTCAGTTGTTTATAAAATAAACCCAACACAACTATTTTCTTCACAATAAAGAAAATAACTATGCATTAGTTTCACTGGACATCAGCATAAACCGATTGCAGAGGAAGAAAAAACAACATCTCCACCCCAAATAAACAATTTTTAAAAAGGTTTTCAGTTTTTTTTTAATAAATGTGCTTTGTTCACAAAAAGTAGTGACATAAAGACAACAGAAATGCAAATACACATTTTTTTCCTTTTCCTCTCCAGCACCTTAAGAACGAGAGATCTCTTGCACAGTCATAATTTTCAAATATTTCATAACCTAGAACATTCTTCTTGCACCAAAGCCAAATATCCAACAACTCCTGATACCACGACTTGTTCAGGGAGGTATAAGTATTTATGTAAATCCCACTTTCCTCCTCCACCACAATCTACTGTCCCTTGTAAAAAAAAAAAAAATTAAAAAAATAAAGAACACTTCAGGTATTTAGAATGAGCAGCAAGAAAACCAAGCTGTTAGGAATCTCAGGTCCCTAAACCACAAATAGAATGGTGTCACCAACCTGCCAAAAAGGCTTAAATTTTAAATGTTAATATTTTAAACTATTTTGGGGGGATAAATCTTGGTCTGAATTGCTTTTTTGTATGAATCACAAACCAATTTACATTAACAAATGCCAACATAAATGTTAGCTGGTATATAACTTTTTTTTTTAAAAAGGAGTATCAGTTAAAATGTTAGGTACACTTTGAAGTATACACAGATTAAGTTTCCTTAAACAGCTGAATTTATAGCACCAATATTTTAGCTTTAACATGAGTCTGGGAAGAAGAAAGGCTTTGAATGACAACTATTTTAGTGGAAGTGAAGTGGTAAATCATTAGATGCAAATACCGACTTACAGCCAATTTTTAAGCCATTGTGTATTTCACTAGAGAAGTATTCTCTGTAAAAAAATTTAAAAAGTCAACTTGTATGATACTTGTATGTCTAAACTTAATTTTTTTTAACACATCAGAATATAATTGCTTAGTTTGCTTATAACTATGTCATTCAGATTGAATAACAAATTTGAATCAGGTATTAGGGGATGCTTTAAATTTAAGAATTGAGATACAAAAAGCTTCCGTTAAAGAATAAAGCATTGCAATCCAGTTCATGTTTGAGTGTAAGCAGGACCAATGCAGGATGACTCTTAGTAGGAAACAGTATAAAAGAAAAACAGGTAGGTCAAACTGTGACACTTTCAGTGCAAAACTTAAACAGAAGGGGTAAGTTTTATTTTTGTAGCAACCACTGTAAAATGCACACAACTACTTCAGTTTATCTGGTAACTTCTGTATTATAATACAACATGGTAGGTTAATATGGTATAAGGTATATTTCATCACAACCACCTGTGAAACTATATATTAGTATTTTCTACCATGTTGCTGAAGTCAGTCTTAAAACCATGATGTGGCACCTAGTTCAAATAATTTCTTATTAGGCACTTTAACATAAAGATTTAACAGCCTAACATTCAAATCTGAGAATTCTGGCCATTATTTTTAAGTGGAGGGAGATCTAAGCAAAACTAATACTGAATCCTCTATTTTTACGACTGAACAGAATTTTTTTTCCTGCTAAACTCACAAATTTATTACACAAGTTAAAAAACTTAACAGATGTAAAACACTTCTGTTCCATCTCCTTACAGTGCAGACCAGTTTTCAGATACCTATGGAGTTTTTATTTAACTAAACAGAAGATTTTTGGATCCAGATAAGCAAACAAATAGGCTATGTTAACTTCACTCATGTGGTGTGAATACACATTTTTATGCAAATATGTGTATCCTTGAAAAATTTGTGTAATTATGTTCCTTTTTACAAAATCGGTCTGTAGTTACCATGTAACTTGGGAGGTCTACATGTAAGAACAATTAAAGAAGAAGTTGTTGTTTTTAAAATACATAAATAATTTACTTTAAAACATGACAAAACCCACCCTGTCCCCCCCAAAAAACACAGTTTGAAGAGAATACAGAACACCATCATTGGGGAAATACTGATATACGTTAGTGCCTGTACACTCATAAAATTGCAAAACCATGTTCCAGCTTTGAAGTGAAACATAATTGTCTAGACGTACCATACTCCTTGGGGCAGGGTGGGGGTGGGGTAGGATAACCTCTTCAGAAATCTCATGTCTAACTACTATTTATGCAATGAAATTACACAGTATGTATAACTGTGGATGAGTATATTCCAGTGTTTTGGTGTTATCTCCATTTGGAGTTATCTCAAGAGGGCTGCATTAAACAAAATCAAATGTGCAAGCATTATACTTTCTCCAGTCCAGGCTTAACCAGAGTGAAACAAATTTTGGAAAACAAATTTTGTTCCATAATTAAGAAGGGACATGTGTAACCAAGTGTCTTAACCTATCTGCACATTTAATTAAAGTGCAAATTATTTCTTCCTACATACACTTCTCAGAACCCCACCAACTCCAGTGCCTTAAGCTCAACCACACTGAGTTAAAATATAGAAACAACATTTAGCAAATTAAATAGAATTCACACTTCACAGCACTAAAGAAAAGAATGGTACCTTTCTGGAAAAAAATTAGTGATACAAGTCTAAAGAAAGTAACAGCAATTTATGCTATGACATGAGTCATTTGCATAAAACTTGTATTTTTTCCACTTTCATACAAGAATAAATTTTAAAATTCAAAAGTAGAAAAAAATAGCAAACTCTGTAAACCTTTGCATTTTCTTTATGCAAACCATTTTTGTGTGTTGAGCCCATGTTAGTATAGCAAAATTAGTTAAGCAAGAGGTTTGACTGAAAGGGCATTTTAATGGCTACATTAACTTAGAAGCAATATAGGATCTTCTAGCTCATAGAAGGGAATTGAACTAGACTGGCTTTCTCCAGAGTCTGAGTCATAAGGAGCATCAGGTAGCTCCATAAAACCGTAAGCTAGCTGTTCATCTTCTGTATCTGATCGAACATAGCAGGAAGTGTTGGAATACTCCTCATCCTCTATACTGTTGAAATCCTGTGGGATATACAACATTCCTGGGTAGTTCCTGCTAACTAAGTCACTTGTTGTTTGCAGGGAAGTTTTCCTAAATGCCATCAGGTGCATGTGAGAGAACTTGGAATACTTGAAGCGTTTAAAACCCAAGGACTCTATGGCAATTTTCCAGCTTTTCATCATCATAGCTCGGCGATTCTGATGAGATGAATCAGGAGTTATTACAAGCAATAAGCCATTTAATACGAGAAGTTCATGTGCCTTCTTGCAGCATATCCATCGTTGATAGGGTGATGGAAAGTAAGAAAGGAGGAGTGAGAAAACGACGACATGGAACAGTTCTCCAGGTAGAGAATCAATGGGATTTTTCAGTTGCTTAAGAAAGGCATCTATAGCATCTTGTGCCAGTTGGAGAGGTTGCTGAATTTGGAGATTTAAGAAGTCACATTTGTATACGCTCTGGTGGAATAAGAAAAACAGAAAAAGCAAAACAAACATCAAGGTTAGTTTAAAAAGCAAATACAATTCAAACCTACAGAATGATCAATAACCACCTCTTCATTTCCTCTGAACATCCCCCCTTGTTATTAAATCAAACAATCTAAAACAAAAATTTAAAAAGAATGCATATTTCCAGCTTTCACAGTTGCAAAGAAAAATTTTAGATGTGCAGTAATTTACCGGAGATTTGATAGCTGAGAACCGTTCATTTAAAAAAAAAAATTAGCCCGAATAGAACAAAGCGTCAAATCAAATATCTCAGAAATGATTTTAAAAGAACTCAGATAAGCCTACATTGCTTTTTTTTCTCCAGATGCTGGAATTCAAGAGTATCCCCTGTGGACTGCCAAAATACCATGTTTTCCTTGTATACGATACATTGTCAAGATAGTTGCATATTAAAATGTGGCAATAGCATAAAACAATGGAATTCTTGAAATTTACATCTAAATTATGCAGTGGTTTGTTTTTTGCTTTTGGTTTGTTTGGGTTTTTTAATAAGCCTGAAATCAGTAAGTAGAAAATTTGATACCTCAGTATTTCCACCAGTTCTTTAAAGAATCCAGGAAACTTAGGAGTTTGGTCACTTGGAAAAAAGTGACTTTCCTTACTGGCACAGAAACATAAAGAAGTTACAGCAAGGCAAGCTATGTTAGAAAGTTACAGCACACCAACTGCTTTGCAGCCGTGATGCAGGTCCATGTTTTAACCTTGCTGTAAATGCAAAGTGTAGTGGTACAAATTTGGGCAGTTATCAAAATAAGGTAAGGGCTTTAAATTAATCTGCTGATCATTTGTGTGCTCAAGCCATCAAAGACTGGAAATGACACCACAATTCAACATACAGAAGAACAGGTTCTTAACATCCTTATCACAGAGCACTCAAAAAATAAGAGTAACAGTATGCTATTCACTACGTTTAAGTTTTTACACTTCATATTAATCAAAACCTGGGCTGACTTCTCTCGTAAAAAAGATATTAAGATACAAGGGTTCAACATGATAGCAACAAAAATTGTTATTAATGCCTAGAGAATGTGCGGTGAACGACAGATTTCTAAATAGGTAAGTGAACACGAAAGCAGAGACAAAACATTCTGCAGAGTACATCTGAAAGGTGGAGCTAGACCTGTTGCATTTTCATACTGCAAAAATATTTATAGTGTGTTTTATGAAACTATTCAAAAAACCAGATCACTAGAACACTATTGTAAAGGTATTCATAAAGCAACTGATATGCACAATTATTTCCAAATAGAATAGAATGTTACTTCTTTTTATGTAAAATCACATTCTCTTCTGAGAATATGCAGTAAATTAGAAAAAGTAATCAATGTTAAAAAAAAAGCCCTGTGATTCATTTTTCAGTTGCTTTAATCTTGGCCTCCAATTTGCAAAAATCAAGAAAGAGACTTGCATTATATGGCTATAATCAAGAAATTTTAATTGCAACCATTATACCTGCAGGGCTATATTCTGCTTCCTTGTAATATTTAGAGCAGGAAATTAACAGTAGTAATTTCATTATATCCTCTAATAAGTTTTAAAGGAAAGAAGTGCTTTGAAGAATAATTGTTCAGAGTAACATGCTAACTATACTTAGAAGCAAGACTTAAAAAGTTAGAGGTTATACATACACAGTTGAAAAAACAATTTAGACTGCAAGTATTTCTCAGTATGGAAAAACATTCATAAAACATGCAGAAATAATGTTAAAGAATTTCAGGACTAAAGTATGTTTCAAGTGGAATTTGAACTCTGCAGGCAGTTTTAGGACAAAAATGCTGCTAAATTCTAGCTATACAAGTCTTGAACTGATGTTAAAGTCCTTCTAAACACTGAAACAGCAGTCATATTGCAGTGCATCCACTGACATTTAAGAACACAATCCTACTTGTATTTTCAGATATTTAATTCTAGTACTCTTCCAGCCTCTTTTTTTGTCTCAGACTATATTTATTCCAATACAACAACATGTTTCCCAGCAGCATGAAATTATATTCGGATTTTCCCAAAGTGGAGATTCTCACTTCATTCCAATTTTGCCCTTTTTTTCCTTTTTTGTAAAGTGTAGACAAATTAAACTCCTCCAGGAAAATAAGCACTGCTTATTATACTCCAAAATATCTGTGTTACAAGCAGAATGTTTGAAGGAGTGGCCAACATAAACAAGTCAAGAAGAAACCTGCTCTGCTTATCCCTGTCTCAGTTCCCTCTTCTAGTTTATAATACTGCATGTTTCCCTCAATATACATTACACCAAGACACTGAAAGTGATGAGTGAACAATGCCTAATTAAAGAGAATACCAATCATTTCTTGGTGCAGACCCACCCCAATCAAAACACAAAATCAGATTACCATATTCCCATCATATACCCATATTCATAGCTCTACAGTTCACATTTTCACTCTGAAACATACAGATTCTGAACGGTTTGAAGACATTAAATCTTTTATTATATAAACTAACATTTCAGTTCCTCTCCTAATTTTTCCACAATTACATCCTTCTTATTTCTTAAGTTAGCTGAAGTATTTTACTCAACTACTTGGTCTATATCCAAAGCATTTCTATATGCAGAAAGTGGATTAACCTATTTCTATTAATAAAGAAGGAATTATTTAACCCTCTATTCAATATTATTCAAGAAACTGACTTCCTAAGAAGCCTCTATGCTTCGATGTGTTTCAAAAAGTATTTTGGTATCTTATCTAAAAGATCTGCTAAATCAGAAGATTTTACCAGTTCTATTTTCAGCTTCTACCACTAAGTTATCAGATCCATGTTTCAGGTCAGATGACGACACTAACTACCATAAGAACCCTCTGGCTATTATTCTGAAGTCTTAAATCGGTGCAGGCAACTGCTGGCCTAAAGATAAATTTATTCAGGAGGTTATGGTGCTGATGCAGCTCAAAGAAACATCTTGAATACATCAGGGCTTATTAATTCTGTTTTGGAGGTGGGCCTAAGCTTATACCAGCAGATGAGTTTGAGTGCACAAATTGTACTCCATGTCACTCAGGACGCTTCCTAGCTAGGTTGCAAGGTGCCCTGAACACACCAAAGAATCCAAGAGGATGGAAGTAAGAGAAGCTGGTGAGCCTGGGACAGGCCTCACAGTAACTACGTTGATCTGTACAGTAGCACTCCATGGAGTTCCTATCATCAAGCTATGCTACTAAGTGCGTCAGAAGACAAGAAATCAATTATCTTATCGTTCCCTTGCACTGGGAGAGAGCCTGAAGAACTGGTTAGTACACAGAAATAATTGCAGCTACTTGACTACTGCCTCTCCTGTTGTCTGGCCTGGATGACTCACGTTCCTCCATTACATCCATAGAAGTAACCTTTCTGGGACTCTTCCAATAATGGTGTTGGTTGCTGTATATTTAAATTGATTTTCATGAGAACAAAAGTAATTTTCTAATGAAAACAGCACAATAGACTAGATAGCAAAATATTAACTATCCATATCCCAAAATTAATGGTTAGATTCAGCTCATGTAACTTCAGGTGCCTAGGCTCCCATTATAGTCACTGGAGAGCTAGTCGATACAGCCCATGAGGTCAGAATGCAATTCACCTCACCATGAAACAGCAGACGTTTAGGTTTCACTGACTGTTTTTAATAGATCTCTACTGACTGCAGTTGGAACATAGAATCTCAGATGTAGACACCCATGCTCTATATATCTTAGCTGGAAATTTACTTGCCATGTATTACTATTTTAGATGCCATAGGCTGCCGCTTCAGTGGCATGTGTCTCCTTTACATCCTGTGTCATGCCCAACAGTCCTATACAGATGTCCTACAGCCTCTTAAGTGGTGGAAGGGTGCCCAATCATGTTTGGGCAACTGATGCCTATTCTTCAAATTAGACAAGATGGAGTCCACTCAAAGTTTCTCTGTGTTTTAGATGAAACTAACATTGAATTGCTTTAAAAAGCAATTGATCAGACTCAGATTTTTTTCAAGAATACCCTTCATTATATCTAAGCATATATGCAAAAATATAAATTAGGTGTTAATGGATTAAACCTGGTGACCACAACAAAATACCATGCATTTAGCATGTAAACCACACTGCAGCAAATAACGTTACTTTCAAGTTAACTGTTTAACTGTACTCATACACTTCTTCTCACCTCTCCACTTCTAGAGAGGGTTACCTTAGGCCACTGATTTTAATGGAGCCTAATTTTAAACTGTAAGTGGTCAAGATGTATATGGTCAAAGGTTTTCTGTTTTCTGTCAGAAATGAATTCCTTTCTGTATCTTTTCATTTTCATTCCACTTTGTCATTTTGTTTGGTTGATAAATGCTATTAGGACTGACAAAAGTTGGGTCAAGGGCAAAAGACAGAAAGAACATATGATTATAGCAGAATTAATGCATCTCAGAACCTTACTACCTAGAGAAAATGAAGCAATTTACCCCAAAAGTGCTGATAAATTTGTCCTCAGTATTGTGGAGGTTCAAGAATATGTGTAGCAATAAACTGAAGAGCCCCCTTTACAGTGCTCTTCTGGTTACTAAAATTCCCCAGAAAAACTCACCAAGTACAGTCACTGATCATTTCCTTCTGTCAGCGAATGCAACTTCTGAGAGGTTCATGTCTAAGCATAAGCCTACTCAATTTTTATTTATGCCTTTTAAGATGCAAGGACTCATCTGAAATGCCATTAAAAGATGGCTACTAAAATTCTCCAATTTTAAGATTCACACCCACATTATAAAGGCATAACTCTTGAAAAAAATTAGATTTTTAAAACAAAACACAACTACGGTTCAGAGCCTGTTCACGGGAAAGGATGTAGTAGGAGGGCCACAGTTCCTTTTGAAGTGCAGATATTTAAGATACATACTTAAGTATTAAACATACCTCTTTTACAGTCATTTTGAAGCATTCTAAAATATCTGAGAATCAAATTTATATTAAATTCAGCAAACATTACATACCTCAACAGCTGGAACAATATCTATGCCAACTGTCAGAAATTCTTCAAACTTCAGAAATGGATTAAAGCAGCTACCAACATCAAGTAATCTGATCTTCCCCAAGGAATGGAGCAATCTAAGAAGTAGCAAGAATTCAGTTTTATCAAATGTTATTTTTGAAGATATATTCTGAATTACAGTATCAGATAACTAATGCAAAAACATTAGAACACCACTCATAGAACACCACAGTACTGACTGATAGAAGTGAATGTCTTACTTGAATTGCTGAGATACCTAAAGAACCAAGCTCCATCAGTAAAGCAGATGGTTCTCAAGCAGAAGAGTTTATGTTAAGAGCAGCTGTAATACTGTTAACTGGTGTACTTGTAGTAAGAAACTAAAATGGCAACTTAAGTGTCCACTAAACAGGCTTTGTGTTTCCCACTTACCTTTTTGTGGTATTTATTGGTGTTGAAGTCACACAAGTCACCAGAGTTAAAATTTCAGGAGTTTGAAAGAGAAACTGAGAACACTCCATGACCCACCTACTTGTCAGTCCCATTTTAAAGGGCATCTGAAGTCAAGTGCCATAATTGGTTTAATAAAGACAAGAGAACACATAATGGTATTCCAAGGTAAACAGAAAAAAAAAAAACTAAAAATGAAAGCATTTAGTTATTCCCTGCAAAAATTTTTAAATATTTTATTTGCTTTACATTAGAGCTAATATTTTTTAAAATGCTGGAGGTTCATTCCAATTCTATTTTCAATGGATACTGTGAAAGAGTTAGATCAGTCCATGCAGAGCCACAAACTTAAAAACTGGCTGCTCAAGTTGTAGGGAAGTTATTCTAAACATCTAAATGAACTGAAGTATTCCCTCAAAACTACTTGGGGGAAAAAAAAGTCTATTCCATTCCATGCAATCAGTTTTCTTTTGGAGTATCCAAAAGCTTTTTAATGAGAAATAGTGAAAAACAGCCATCTGGTTTAGGAAAGAGTCCTACCCAGAGTACTTCCGAAGTACTCAAAAATGAAGATTTATCCCAGAAGAATTCTGAAGAACATTTTAGTAAGCCAAAAAAAAAAAAAAAAAAAATAAAAAAAAAATCTATCTCCTTATCTGCCACTGTGTGATGAGCTACTATTCAAGGTGAAATTATAGATAAGGCGGCCAATGGCTGTAATGCTAAATACTTAACTATGCTACCAAACAACAAAAGGTGATTGATTTAAAAAAGAAAAAAAAAGTGGGGATTAACTTGAGAAATCATGACTTACTGCTTGGACTGATAGAAAGAGGTTGACAGACTGCTGAGGACAGACTGCTGAGGAATACTTTAGTTCCAGAATGCTGCAGAGATGCACATATACCCTTCCAAAATGTCATGGAAAATGAAAAAGCCCACACTGAGTAACTGGCCCATCATCTTCCCAACCAGATTCCAAAACTTCCTGGGGTAAAAAAAAACCTGGAGGAGTGGGAAATGAGAAAGAAAATAGCAGACTGAAGAAACGAAGAGAGGACATTCTTGTCTGGTGGAAGCTCCCATTATAGCACAGCAGAAGATATGCTAGAGGCTGGCAGATGAGATTTGCCTTTTCTTGGAAAGCTGTGACATCACCTGTGACCAACTGCAAAACCAATCTGAAATGCCTTTATGAAGCTAAAGACATCACTGCTCTTTTCTATAAGTTAAATATATAGGTTAAAAAAAAACGAAAAAAAGATGCCTGGCAACTTTTGAGGATAGTGACTGCTGCCTTGCCTCCGAAAGCATTCTTACCTTCCAAAGAATAGTCTCCTTGACCAATGCCTAGAGGAACATTTATGGTCTTCAAGTTTGCAACCATAGGCACTTTCTTCATGACCAAGGCAGTTACCAGTATACATAATGTAGCACCAGATAAGATCAATGCACCTGTACAGAAGTACTGGCAGTCAGCTATCTCATTGTCATTTGAAAGTTTTGCCTCATCCTGGCACTTAGTTTGTCTAACCTGATATGCTGTCCCTCTTAAAAGAATTAGAATGTTGCATTCAGTTATCGCTAATAAAGGACTCAGCTGTTGAATACATCCTACAATCAAAGACATTGTTCTTCAGTTTATTTTCCTTGCATTCTGAATTTGGAGGCCCCTGCTGTTTATTCTTTCTTTGCAATTGCAACAAACCAGTAAATGCTGGAGTTAAACAATTCTGTTCAAGTCCACCAGTACAGACTTCACATCCACCTGTTCTCTAAAACACAACTTGATGAGTGCATCCACTTATCAAAAAAAAAAACAAACCCACACAAAACCAGCACCACTAGCACCCAACAGTTCGAGTTCTTTCTATCGGATCATTTACAGGGCTGCATCTAAAAATTTCCCATCATGATTTGTAAGATCTTAAAATACCCAAAATCCATTAATAGAGGCAAACAAACGCGAACTCACAGCTTTCACAGGGAATTCACAGGGAGGAGAAGGATAGCTTTCCAGCAAGCAAATGTTGCTTTTTGCTTCAAGTTTCTGTAGCCAATTCCAATTGGCATCTCCAAAATATCATTTGTCATTTTTCTGGGAAAGATTCAGCCCTAGAGAGACAGATAACTGCAAAAAAACTGCAAAAGCCATGGTTTTACTCATAGCAACAACAAAGCAGTAAGGAATACTCCAGAAAAAATTATCTTTAAGCAGCAATAAAGAGATCTGGGCTCTCTGTGCTCCTCCTAAACTCCCAGTTATCCACCACAGAAAGGAGCTGGAGAAGCAAGAGAAGATTTCTTTTTGTATTCTGCAGAATAATAATGCCAAGTTTAAGGATTTTGCTTCTATATGGAATAGAAGATATCCAAGGGATACTTCTGTCAGAATACCAGCATCACCAAGGCAAATAGCGCAACAATTATCTTTAAGTTAAAACCGCACACATTACCAGGCTACCCTGTAAGTCAGTCAGTACTGAGTGAGATTTCACAATGAAGATGATAGTAACGATTTCTTCCCAGCTTGGATGCCAATCACAATGTAATCTAGACAACAGGAATTTGATTACTGCAGAGGGACCATTCAGATCCTAGTGGCCACAAATCACAAACGTGGGCTGAAGTCAAGTAGTGTCTTTTTCCATGTAAGGCTAGTATGACATTTCTCAGACCAGCATGTCTCCTTGTCTAGCAAATGGAGACACTAATGGCCGATTCTTTCTCATTCAAACCCAAAAACATATGTCTGTATGTACGCTTGCATTCTACATAAGAGTCCAATGGTAACAGCAAAAGGATAGAAGACACATGGGACCACAGGAAACACAACAAGAGGGAACGTGACTCTATAGTGCAAAGAAAACTTCCCGCGAAGAACAGTGACAGCCTCTAGAGATCTTAACATTTTCCATTTAAAGTGTTCGATGAAATACTTGTACGGATTAAAATTAAGCAGCACAACCTAGAACCCTCTAAACTCCAGGAGAGCCCACTTCACCTACGGAAGAGTGAAAAACCACTGTGATGTATTCTGTCTTTCTCTCTTACAAAACCTGCATTCTTGGCTGCAGCATTATTTTTGACTGGGTGAAGGAGGACACAACTTCAGACTACTACAGCATTGGGGCATACTTCTGGAAAGCTACAACTGTGGATTCCAAGCTGATCAGAAGCTAGAAACTCTCATCTACACCAATGGACAACAGATCTAAGTTTTTTGATACAGGGCAAATTCACTCCCCTAGGTGTGTCACATCCAAGGAGCCTTGTAGTTTAAGTTCAATGCAAATGTACTTTGAAACCTTAAAAGCAGCAGTGATTCAGATGCTTGCTTGTGTCTTGATTTCCTGTTGCTTGTCAGGTTTTGCTGCCTCTCAGAGCACAGGTGCAATGAATTGCTTAATAGCAGTTCGCAGGCTGCCAGTTATCAGTAGGAACAGGATCCTAGTTACGTGCTTGAAATCATTTTGAAGCTCTTCAGAAGCACTTAGATTCGGTCACTGAACATATACAGAGAGCACAGACCACAGATTCAGATGGTCTGAAGACCACTGGTTCAGATACCTACTTTTTCAGCACTGCAACTCTTAAGTCAGAGTACTCAGTGAGAATATAACTGTAATCCAGGTGACAATCACTGATCCAGTGAGCCAATGAGTTTGTTAGAAACATAGTCTTGATGAATTCATTGATGATCACCCTTCAAACCCCTGTTTCCTAATGATTTTCAGTCAAGGCAACATTAAAAGCAAGGGAAGTACTTTGCTGCTGTAGGTAATCTCCAAGCACATCTTGAATCCACAGTTCTCCAATGCATTTGTGTATAGGTAGGAAAACCAGATATGAATAGTTAAAGATCAGGAACTGATAAAGAAATGTACATAACCTGGGAAATGAGTGCATTTTAAATACATCCCACACTTGTTTATTTCAAGAACTTTATTAAATGGACTGCAGCTTTTGATTATTAGCCCCTTTAAAAATGCACCTATTATTCAACTAGGTGCTGTACAGGTAAGTGACATTTTCTCTTGGAAGTAGATAGAAATGGAGCAGTTATATGACCATAAGGAAAGTCACTTTGTCTCTGAAATTAATCACTTCAAGTGCTGATCTCCTAGTTTTCAATTACTATTATTTATCAAGGATGGGAGGGGAAAAAAATTCAGAAGCCTTATGCTGCTGTCACAAGAGCAGAACAAAGCTATACAACTGGTTCTGAGTGGCAACACTGGTATGCCTCAAATCTTTTGTAACATCCACACATAAAGATATCCAATGGGAAGGTCTAGCTTTCTGAGATACATATGAAGGAAGGAATGATAGGTTGTACCTTAAGAGACAGTCAAACCAGCACCTGAGAAGAATCCATACCAAAAAGGATGTGATTTTTACCATTAAGGAGAGAAAGCAAGACTGCTTAACTTGATGGAAAAAGAAGAGAAACAATACTCAAGAAGAGAATAAGGAGGGGACTGATTTATTGAAGGGAGGAGCTGTTAAACAGCAGATACCAGTCACTTTTATCTTGCAAGACTGAGCCACTTTTGATGTCCAGCTTCACAACAGGTATAGTTGTAATGCTACAGACATAAGAACTCATTCTGGGATGGAAGGAAGTACTGTGGACAATACATTACTTTTTATATAGATGAAAGTAAAAAAAGACTGTTCACATTAGTTATTTCTGTGAGACTCACCAATTTTAATCTGGCAGAGAGCTGAGCAATGTGAGCAACTGGAAATGGGTTCAAAGAGGCTGAGTGACTTTCCGAGTTGCAGTAAACTTTGCCCTTCTGGTTCCTATAATGTTTCCTACCATCACCTTTAAGAGACGGCTGATTGCTTCCTACTTCTCTTCACATCTCCCAGCATCTTTTTCACTACCTGTGGAACCTTTTATTCCTGAGCTAGCTTTGCTCTTTACCAAGCAAAATACAGTGGCTTGCCAGTAAAGGTAAGCTCAGAAAGAGCTCCTACATAAGCAATCTGTTTTTAATACTATTTGAGAGAGGATTATATATGGGAAGAACAAAATTGTCTTTACACTTACCACAGTAAAACAAAAAGTCACAGGCTTAGTCATACCTAAGACAACTCCACAACTCTTATTTGTAGTATTACCAGAATGGAGTGACAGTATTTGAACAAGTGTGTGTGTGTGTGTGTGTTATGGGGGAGGTTCCCCCTTGTACCAATCTTGTACCAAGACCTCACCAAGATTCAAAGACTTCACTAATTGAAGAGTGTAGACATGGTAGAAAAGCATTTCAGGAGAAGACTATGCTTTGTGTAATACACAATCCATTTTCATTCTGATAAACTCTGTAATTTCTTCTATAAGGCATAGAGGAAGAAATTGAATTTTGATTTCTCTGGGCAGTAACTTGGAACACCTATGCCTTATTGCTTTAAGGTCTGTACAGCTACTAAAAACCTTACTACCATTTGTTGCTTACTCAGGTAAATATTATGAAACTTGCCTTTGCCAGGTATGTCTTTAAGGATGTATGAATTTTTAAAGTTTTGAGAATGAAGATAAAAATCATCATCACTGATTAACAAATACTTTTAAAGTTATTAAATAAAAACTTCTCTATTAACTACTTTCTATCCACACTAGTCAGAACAAAAGGTAAAGCTACAGACTACTGGTAGCAAGAAGAAACTCATGTGAAGTTAGCTCTGCAACAGCCATTATAAACTCTGTATAAAGTATGAAGACAGAGCACACGCAAAGAGAGAGCTAATGCTTTATCATGACAAGGCTTCCCACTGAAAGACAAATTAACCTTAAGTAGTGCATGATCATCAAACCTATTGTTTTAAACAAACAAGTACCAACAAATTGCTATTTATAGTAATGCTTAAATTATGTGTTAACAAATGCCAACATTATTGATATGCTACAAGGTATTAGTATCTCATCAGCCCTTTGTGCGAAAGTGCCTCGCAGTTCTCATTAAAAACAGGTATTCATTCTGAGGCTGACTTAGTAAAATGAGCACTGCAAAGAGGAGTCGGTGGGGGAAGACAGCTTACAAGAAGCCACTACCTTCATTTTGGAAGCATCTGTTTTGTCTTGTCATAACAGAACAACAATGGGGAAAACGTTTTCATTTTGCATGTAACTATACAACTACATATGCATTTGGGATCTTTACGCCTTTTGCAAGTTACTTTACAAACATGAGAAACCACAGAAGATGCCAGATCATAGGGACAGACACATCTGCTAGTAGCATTAGTAACATGCTCGTTCCTTTCCTAAGTAATACTATAGTATTAAATAGATATAGTAATACTATATCTAACTTAAAGTAAGTGCTGATCACAGAAGACATGCTACAATAATGAGAAAAATCTTCACAGAACAGAAAAAACACTATTGCAGACAGTTGTAGGAACTGGCCTATAAAGAATATGAAGCAAGTCGTAAGTGTAACATTTAATGATAATATGCTTATGCATTCATTATTCCATTATACCTGCAAAATACTAAATTCTTTCCATCACACATGGAATAGCCACAAACATGACCCATGTTATTTAGGAAAAAAAGGAGGTTGGGACTGTAACTGAAGTAAAGCTACTCCTGAATGCCAAAACCAAAATTCTTACTTGAGTGAAGGTCAAAAACAAAATTAAAACTGTTGTTAGGAAAATACCTCAAGGATACTACAACTTCTGCACAGCCAGTCTTCAGAAAGCTAGCACATTTAAAATTAAGGGTTAGAATTCAAAATTGCTTTTGAAGTGTATAATTGGAATCAAGAGTTTCTCTGCAATTATTTATGAAAAGAAAGTTTTAAGTACTCTGATATTTACATTTGGCACTTACTTAGTACTTGCATAACCAATTGACTTTTCAACAATGCTGAACAGCCATTAGATTCTAACTTAATTAACGTCTCCCTTATTTCACCTCCAGGTTTAATAAAAATTGCATTGCACAAAAGTGAAACTGCTCTGACACTTAAATGAAGATGACTAAGTTGTCATTCTCAAGCAATTTTTTATGGCATCCACCAAAATATACTACAACATAAATATTTCTTGAAACATATATACATGTTCACATGATAAGAAAATGCCCTTTCTTAACTATCAAAAATACATCAGACTGATCTAATGTTACGGGGAAAAAATGTCCAGGTAAGTCTTATCACACACAGAAGGGAAAAAAAACCTCTGGAAAACAAGTAAAACTTACTCTTCTGTTATAGCTTCATGATTTGTCAAGCCAGAGTTTGGCAAGGGATCTTCAATCTTGGGAGCCTGGGGAACATTTAAAGCTGGAGTGGTCTTGGAAGCAAGAAGTGCTCTTTTTTCATCTTTCTCAAGTGCTTTTCTTTTCCCACCGTTCTGAAAATATTCTCGGCATACACTGAAAAAAACAAAAAGAAAAATTCCCCAGAAAAACAGAATGCTATTTTTGGTCATTACTATAGATAAGACACAAGACAGAGGTTTAAAAGATACAAGTGCTGTCAGCTTTTAAACAAATCTTGGTTTTACTGCAATTTTGGTAAATCAGCTTTAAGAAAGATGCAATACACCCAAAGACACACTTGAAGTCGATTGGTGTTTTATTTCTGGAAATTAGGCCGTAAGTCACAGTTGAGTAAACAGATTCAAAATAGTTCTATCTGGATAGACTTTTAGAGCACGACAAGAAGTCTTGTCAGAACATCACCAGAGGGTAAACTTCAGCTGTCACCTGAGCACCACAGTTCTCCACTAAGGTGCAAACAGCTATTCACTAGCTCCCCGTAAGTGCAGGGGCTTTTGGAACATCTGTGTCTTGCAAGGCACGTAATGTGGGGGAAAAGAAACATAATCCAGGCTTACACGCTAACTTACCTACACTAGTTACTAATTTTAATTGAGTTTGCCTGGGGTGTTTTTTGTTTAAGTAACATATCTGCAGTAGCTGTATTATTGTGGAAGACTTATTTTAGCTTTTAATTTTTTCTCCATACTTAATTGTTTTGCTAATAGGAACCAGAACAAAATAATTTGGTCATACTTGAACAGAAATGTTAACCAGTTTAAAGGAATTAATGTTATCAAAAAAGTTAAATTACACCTGCATACTTCAACCAGTAGTTAGCATTATTGTATGAGAAGCAAGCATTATGTTCGAGAATAACTGAATTTTGTCCACAAAATAGAACTAGAATTGAAAACAATTTGTTGCTGTGAAATTAAAAAGCCTGACTCACCTGGCACAAAGCAGTACTTTTAATTAGATGTGCCAGCCAAGTATTTGCATGGCAAGTTTAACAGAAATAGTACTTGTTTGAATGATGTTTTCGTAACAACCCATTTTTATGATGCTTTCTTGAAACTCACTCAATTTTCCTCTAACAAAGCTGCAGAGGTTTGAAGGAAACATTCCAGAAAACATAAATTCAAGTGTAGTTTAATAACACCTTATACGAAGCAGGATCAAGATAACATAGTATTTCACATCACAGATTCAGGAAGGGACATGTTGGTATAATGCTGCATTTAAATCACAACTAGAGACAAGGACTTGGAATACACAGGCCTTATCTAAGGGTTGGTGATATTATAGGCACCAAATATATCCAGCCTCTCCACCGTGTAAGATGTGAAGGGAGAAAAAAAAAGTTATTGGAGTTGAGTTTCTTAAAGGGAAACATACACAATCAAACAGGTACAGATAAAAGTCACTTTACTCCAAGCTGGTAGGAAATGAACACCTTGAATCAGTAAATGTATAATTACAGTAGCACATTATGTCCAGGTTACTAATTCTTGCCGGGGGGTGGGGGGAAGTTATCCTGGACACATTTCTGTGCTGACATGCTTATAGGACCTCAAGATCAAAACTGACCTGCATCTAAAACTCAAAGCACAAGCAAGTTTTACTTGCTCAAGCAGGCCCTAGGCGTTCTTGGACTAAATATAAGAAATCTAAAATGCAGACAGTGACCTTAGAGCAGAAAACACAGCTACATGAGAAATAAACTCAGTAAACATTATATTTACAATCAACATGTTTATATTTACAATTCCTCAGTAACCAAAGCTATTTTCAGACCAAAGAAGCTAGGTGGAATAAAGAAAATCCACATCTTAACAGTATGGAGCAAGATCACATGCAGAAGCATGAATAGCAGTCGAGGCTGCAATACTCCCAGATATATAGACTGTGAAACCATACCAACTCCATCCATTAGAGATTGCACATATGGAAAGACAACAATTCTAAAATTAACAAAGTTAAAGTAGGAGGAGTCATTTAACTTAGCAGGAAGGAGATCAAAAACATCAGTAAACAAAAGAGAATCATAGAAAAACACTTGAATTATTGCTGGTGTGCTAATAAAAGTTGTATTTTACACTATATTGTATTATTTGTTTATAAGCATATGATCAATTTAGGGATTATGTCTTTCCTAGCTATTTAGTTCTATGTGTCATTTAGTCAAAGAAATGAAACTCAGGGAAGGGAAAAAAAAAAATCAAATCTTTCTCCTCACCATTTACTACTTTGTTACCATCTTGTCGTCTCTTTATTTTTATTCTAAGTCTTTTTTCTCATTATATCTCTTAAAACATCCAGAATCAATGGTAGTTTAAATAGTGTTGCACTGCCATTGATACTGACACCTAAGTCAGAACACACCAAAAAGTTCCCAACCTTGGGAGAATAATGTTTTTTCTCCTCAATTATTGATGTTACCAACTTTTTAATTCACTAGAAGCTGGTATGTTGCCCAGCTTAGCACTTAATGAGCTGTTGCACAGGAGAATAACCTACTTGTAAACTGTAGTATAAGCTCCTCTTGTCACCAAGAAGCCATTTCTTCCTTATTCTTGGTACTGGTGCAAATCAGTATTTTTTCCATCCTTCTATCCCTGTCTATCATGTCAACTGAGTTCTCATAATTCTATATTGTTCTTAACTGACCTTCCTTGTCTGCACATAAGACACTATCAAAGTCAACCACGAGGAGAAGCATCTTCTACTCCTGGGTTTTTGCTGGTGGATGGAGGGGCCAGAGCCACAAGAAGGCCCAAGACTGGGTAAAATTCTTCACGTTCAGATCCCAGTCTGCATACCTGTGTACTACCACAAGGAAGCAAAAAAAATACCAAACCCACCCATCCAAACAAAAAACCCCAGGCAACACTGTACTTCATAACCACTGAGGTATGGTTATCTCCATTTTATGCCTTTCTGTAGTTACAGTAATTCTGGCAGGATTACTACATGTGCCCTTTTGGCTCCCGTGGCTTCAGAGGAGCTTCCCCTCATGGAAGAGGACCTCACAGCTACTGTGGGGTAACAGTGAGCATGTGGGCAGTCACTGTACAGTAGCTAACTAGAGATAATGCACTCAGTAGTTTACCCCATGGTAACTTGTTGGTGTAGCCACATGTTTAACTTCATGGCCAATAAAGGCCATCATTGATCACACTGTGGTTTTGAGTATGCAGCTATATAAGACACTACATTTAACAACTGTCTCAAGTAATGACCAGAACATCCCTTAATTATCTACAAAGAGAAATAAAATTAAGGAATCTATTTTATAATTCTGAGAACTGACGTGGCTCCATTTTTAACTGACATTTAAGCTTTCCGTCTTTGATGATACAATAATAGTTCTACAATTAACATACTTGTTTATGAAGAATTGTGCAATGTAAATGCTACCTGAGCTAACACTTGCTACAGTTTACACAAACTGTAAAATAAACATTTCAGGTCTTAACTGTTTAAGTTTACTGGCAGAAAGACAAGTGAAGTGTCCAGTTCATGTGTTTGCTTTTAAAAAAAAAAAAATTCTAGCTATTTCCTCAGTGAAACTTGTTTTCCATATTTCAAATCTCAAATGGTAAACAACCTGTTCAAGCTGACCCCCCTGTTCCGCCATTTGGGCTGGACATGTATAGGAAGTTTCAGTAAAAGCCAATATGAATACATACTCATTTGTTAACACTCTCCAGCGATGAAAGAGAAGCTTCTTTTTCGAATACAGTGACCAAACCCAAGGGTTTCAATAGAATATATAATTTAAAAAAAAGGAGGGGGGAATTGCCAAAGAAACACCATATGAAATTTAAAAGCCATGAAAGAATCAGTAGGTAGTTCTTCTCATCAAGTAATAATGAACAACTAAATTAAAGCTGGTGTGGTCAGCTTTTATCATGGCAAAAAGCAGTTTCTGATAGCTGTTACCAATGCTCAAGGGTTTCAAGCAGCCAGTTTTACAGGCTAAGAACTGACACAGTCCATCTCTTCCTTCTGCTTTATAATGAGGAAAAGCTGAGCTTGACTTACGTTCCTTACAATATTTACTAACCAAAACCTAATATTGAAGATGAAGTTCAGTGATGGTACAGAGAAATAACATACTTCCCTTCTGAAAGCTGAAGGAAAGTCTAGATTTCTCATCATGGTTTCTGTGTGCAGAACGTTTCTCCCCTTCTCCCAAACACTGAGGAATAAGTTTATTAATGTCAACTGACAGAGCTGCTGGCCTCAAAATAAAGTGTGAGCTCTTCTACAGGTTTAACTCACCCACCCCGCAACCTGGAAAGAAAATCAAGGAAGGGAGAATTCTCAATTTCCCTTGTACACATTAAACACACCTAGAAGAGCAGAAGCGTTTCCTCTGAACTGGAAAATATTTTGCTATTGGCATGCACACACAGCTTTAGGTTAAGGAAATCCTGTATTCAGTATAGGTGAGAGCACTAGGTTTCTCAATGTAAAGTATTATAATTTTTTATTATCATAATTATATTTTGTTAAACTTCAAGTTGAGAAACGTGTATACAATACATTTTTCCATTTTATTTTTCATACTTGGTCTCAGTTTTAGGGTTTTGAGATATTTTACTTTTGAGAAACACAATTAGGTCTGTAATCAGATGTTTCTCTGGTGTTGTGGCCACCCCTCCACCCCAAACCAGCTTCTGGAGGCAATATCCTTCATTACTGGAGGATTCAACAACTTGAAAATAGGCGGCAGTTGTCATATGATCACTGGTCTAATTAGCTCTAGTGTTCAAACAAACAGATACAGTTTTGTCAGAACAAACTATTATTTAAGAGCAAAAATGAAGACTGTCATACAAACATGAACAATGAACATTAAGTCTCTTTTCTATTTTAAATGGTTTCCTTCCTCCTGTTTACGCCACCTCCCTCTTAATTCCATTCTCCTGAAAGTGAATTGCTCAACTAACTTCATTCATCAAAAAAGCTGCAAAACTCTGTTGAAGGGACTTCAAACATTCATTCATTCAACCTTCCAAACTCAAACAGGATCAGCTTTACAGTTCTAGAAGAGACCTGTTATTCTCAAAGATCTTGTAAGAGATCAGTTAGCCTTCTCTTCTTTTGACTACACAGCTCCAGCTTCTGAAAAAAAAAAACCCCCAAAGCTTTTGTGGAAAAAATTAGAATATTTTTGATCATTTCTTTATCTTTCTTGGAGTTGAGTTGTTTGTATTTTTTTAAATGCAGGCCAAGGTAATATTTTGGCTAAGAGCAATGCCAAATAAAGTCAGAGGAGTACTTCACATATCTTGTGGACAATCTCATTAACATACTCCAGTATGATATTTGTCTTTATTGCAAAAGCATCCCATTGACTATTTCATATTCAGCTTGTGGCCTGCTACAGAATCCAAATGCTTTTCTAAAAGACTGACACAACCAATTACTCCCTGCCTTGTATTTGTATAGTTGACAATATTTGGTATAGTTAACAACACTGTTAATTTTAATCCTGTTCTCAGAGCAACAATTCTTTTCTGTTTGGTCTCATTTGTGAATTTAATAAACAGACTTTATTCTAGCAGATTGCTAATGAAAATATTGATTAGTAATGGATGCAGGGACAGACACTGACAAAGTCCTTCTCAGTAAATCACATTTTTAAGATAAGCTTCTAACATCTATTCTCTGCAAGTTTTTCCAAACAGTTCTGCACTCACCTGACATTAACTTAATCAAGACCATATTTCTTCAGTTGCTCATGAAACATCAAAAGACTTTTAAAAAAAATGCAGGTCTAGATAGTGCTTTGTTATGATAGTTAGAAGTGCAGATTTTGTTTTTTGTTATTTAAAAAAAATAGCCAAGTCAACACAAGTCTTAACACTGACGCAAAAGCAACAGAAAGAAGCAAACCTGCTGGTCTAGCTTATTTTGTTCTAACTAGAACCAGAACAGGCTGGCATTCATTGTCCATACAAAGGCTCACCGGCCTACCTATGCCAGCAAAAATTAAGAGTTGGGACAATTATTCAGGGTAAACATCATCTTATCCTATTTTAGTTTAAGGTTTAGGTTTTGTGTTGTAATATAAATGAAATGAAAGAGAAACAGAAGTCTTAATTTCCAAATACCAATGCTACTCTGTATTCAGTTTTCTAAAGATATAAAAAGAAAGCAAGGGAAGGACAGTTGAGTGTTGCCCAGGCTTTTTTACACCACCACTCGGGATCATTAACCTGTACCAGGAAGGGGATAAAGTTTTAATCCCTCTTCCTCCCGCCCCTCTCCCCAGCTAAGCATTATATAAATTTGCACTGAAACAATAAATAAAACTGGCCCTATACAATGCAGCACATGGTCATCAGCACAGTCCATCATGTACTGCTTTCCATCTTTTATGGTTTCTAAAGTCTGGATATGTGCTCGTTTAAATCAACAACCAATGAAGTAGTAAAATAATAAGTATTATGTCATCTGGTTTAAGAATTAATATCAGAACAAGCATTTTTCCAGTATCTTCAACTAAATAGCTAGAAAGACTTTTGAAAGGAGAACCCTGCAAGAAAATTGTTATTCTTGATCCTGAGAAGTACACACAGCTTCTATAGTGGTTATTCTGCATTCTCTGATTTACTTTAGCTGGTGCTTGTTTATAAGAGAATACAAGGAAAATGAAGGCAAGAAAAAAAAAGGTAGGTTTTTTTTTTAAACTAGTAGAAAAAGCACTTCTCAGTTTCAGATCTCTGAAAAGATCTTCCTTCAGAGAAAAACAAAAAAGCTCAGACCTTCTTCAGCAGGGATACACCAGTGGTTCCCGAGTATTTTTAGCATTCCACTCCCAAATTAAGCTTAATATAATACATCAGCTACCTTCCTGCTGTCATGGTCACACAGTTAAAGCATTAAGCAAAAGCTTTCAGTGAAGTCTCATTCAAGTCAAGTTCTCTTGCATGCAATTATGCAACCAGACACAAGGAGGAGTAACAACCATGGGACCTGCCATCTGTCTGGGACACCTCTTGGCTCTTTGAGGAGGAACAAAAAAATTGCAGAACACAATATGGTATGTTCTGGTGTCTAGCTATCCAGGTCTCAGTTTAATCTGAGGCACACAAAAGCGAAAAGCACCCCTCTTTTTCTACTTACGTTAAACTCCTGACCCCTTGACTTTGCAAACCAAGAAGGTACGTGCTTTAGTTGAAGCTTTATACTGAGAGAACATTTTAGTGTCTCTTACAGGGTGGATTCTCTTTTCAATATGAGTTCATGCTGCAAGGCCCAAACCGGACACTTTCTTTAAATCTTTACATTGTAAAACTTGTAGGAACTACAGACAGAAAACAAGTGAGATACAGAGCCAAAAAACTTCAATACACAGGCCATCAACTGTTCCTCCCCTGTACACAAGGAACATTATCCTGTCCTACAGGGTAACAGACAAGTTTGCCACAAGCTAAGGGAATACTGTTTACCTGAAATTACTTTAAAGTATGTGCACACAGCTCTATTGAAAAAAGTTTTACATATTAGTTGACAATCAAATTGTAAGAAAATACTGAGCAATGTTCCACGGGAATCTGTCCCGGGTCCAGTGCAATTAGTTTTTCACAGATAACCTGAACATTGGAACAGTCACTACCCCTCTTAATTGATCTGTAAATGATGCCAAGTGGGGGGAGGGGGGTAGATGCTGCAAGAAATTGCAGTATTAGAATTCAATATGATTCAAGAGAGTGTCGTTTAGTAAAGAGAAGTACAAATATCAGCATTTCCACAGAAGTAATGAGTAGCACAAATACAAGAAAACAACTAGCAACTGAGGAAGCCTGTAAAAAAAGAGATGGGCAGTTGGGGATCACAAATGAGCACAAATCAATGTGACACGAATACAAAAAGAAACACACAGAAAACCCACTAAACAAGGTCAGTAGCATAAACAAGAGTTTACTACAACTCAATAATATTTCTTCATTTTATTTATCCCCGACAAGGCCAGGGGACTGCTGTGTCCATTTTGGGGCATAGTTCATTCCAACTGATTCACCTCTCTTGTAACTGGGATAAGGACACACAAAACATGTCCGGAAAAGGTTGTATAGAGAAACACTTAACCAGTTTGGGTTTTTTTTGGGGGGTGGGGGTGGGTGGGTTTAAGCTAAAGGATAAAAGATTGGTACGTAAAGGAATGGTTTTCAAATATTTAAGAGCCTGTTGTAGACAAAAACGAAAACAGCTTGTTATTACTTGCTCCATTTCCAGAAGCCACAGAACAGCTCAAGTTGCCACCAAGATGTACTGTAGATCAACTGTTTCACAGTTGTTCCCCCTCCTCTTTTTTGTTTTATGGGCTCAAAGGACCTCTGTAATGAATTTAAATTTAGTGGTATCATGCCTGGTTTGCTGCCTTTTGCTCATCACACTGCAACACTCACTTGCAGGACCTACAGACTGGCACACAACATTACTTTTTGCCTGTCTAAAGTCATTCCCAAAGGCAGGACCATTGATAAAGTTAGACTTCAACAATATTTTGCTTTATTCCGCTGTACAGATTCCATGGTATGCCTTGGATGCCAACTGTACGCAGGAATCCTGAGTGACCAACATTTCTCTTTTAGGAGTTTATTTTCCTCAAGGATTGAAATAGCTTAGCTTCATGACTTTACTATTACGACAACCCAATTAGATGTTTATGACAATTAGGAATTTTAAAGTTTAAAATCCATTTTAAGTAAGTTTCACAGAAGTTAAAGTCAAGATTAAGACTTGACAATTACACAGCAGAGATTTGCATTTAGAGATCAAACACTATTATATGCACAAATCAAACCAAAGCCCTGAAAATCAAACTTGAGCTCCACTCACTGCATTTGATCAGTTTAGGTTCAAATGTATAGAAAATTACTTCAAAGGTTTACCTGCAAACAGCTTTTTCCCTCAGCATTTGACAGAAAAAAAACCCACAACCAACCTTGTTTGTTCAAGATACTTTAAAAAAGGGTCACCTTTTAACAAAACACTTATAAGCTGTATTTCCTTAGTAAGTTGGAACAGTAAGAAGGTATTTGTTTTAGGAAGCAATAAATCATTAACATGTTACAGAACAAATCTTAAAAATTGGCAAAAAAGCAAAAAACGCTTAAACCTTGTATTATAAATAATTGCAAGTAGAAGTGTGCAATTGCATCTTTCAGATACATTAATACTTACCTGCAACACCATTCAATTCGGCCTTCCCCTTCACAAGTTTTTGCCCAGTGATTATCTGCAAGGTTTTTCATTGCCACAGCATATTCACACAGAGTCTCCTCATCCTCACAGTGCTCACGCCAGATCTTATCAAAGTCTCCCACTAAACAAAACAACAGAAAAAACTTCACATTAGATACAAAGTTTCTCATTATCTCCATGGCAAAATCCCCATCCTCCAATTAGAAGAAGTTACATAATGCACCAAGAGATTACTTTACCTGCACGTAAAAAAAATAAGGTCCCCTTTCTTTAGTCAAACACAAAATTCCAGGTTTTGGAGAAGGAAGGGGGTATCGGGTACTTGAGAAACTAGCAATATTCTCAGTATACTGATTTTGTTCAGTTTGTTCTGTGAAATTCAAATCCCTGGGAAGTTTGCTTTCAGGTTTCTGTGCACAAGCATTAACATGACAAACATTTTAGAAATGAAAGACTGAAAGGTTTCGTAGTAGCATTCATGTTCGTGGCAAATACTGTGGATGATATTACATGCAAAAATGCCGAAATGGAAGTTTAACCCAGACTATAGATTTCTTTGGATACATTGGAAAAGGAATTCAAGCCTTCATTCATGTCTGTCTAATCTAGCCAGTCCCAATGAATTAGCTTCTAGGCGACAGTACTGAAGAATCAAACCGAAAGGTCAGGAAATCACAGATAAACTCGTCTGCTGATCTCTAGGGACAGATTTATTTCCATGCTCCTCACCTTGCTGAAAAGAAGTCTTGCAGGTTAAGTTCTGGCACTTCAAAGTAATTAAACATGATTTTCCCTCTTTTGCTGCTAAGTATCCAGTTCTCCTAGCTTGCTTTACATAATGTACTGCTAAACAAAAACAAGATAAATGCTAGTTGTGGCTAGCCACAATTCCTATTGTGGTTTCTACAGCACGCAAACCCTTGGTATACCTTACTAAAAAGACATTTCTGCCCTAAGAAAGAAAAATATGTGCTCACTGCTATGATCTTCACTAATTCCTTTTGTGTTTCTTAATCACAAATGTGCGCACGCATCTAGTATAAATATATATAAATCTGTAGAATGAAAATTATCTACTAATTTTGCACCTACAAGCCAACACAGCTAACAAGAAGTTTTCAAGAGCTGAACTATACTTTAAGCTTTGACTTGGACAACCAACGCACTTTTCACAACATGGTTCCAGAACCAGTTTTTGTAGCACCTTCATATTACACGGAAATATTTAAAAGGTGTATCAAGGATAAGCTAACTATTAATGTCTGCTAAAGCCTGAAAGTAGCTTACAGTATGACCTGTCCTTCTCATATCAGTAAGAGATTTCTGCTTCTAACCCACTTATGGCAATTTCTTTGATGTGCTTTGTTTTAATTAGCAGTAAATAACTAAACAGATTTCTTCTAGTGGCAACTTCCCCCTCTTCCCCCCATGTGTGCAATGAGTAATAATCCCTCACTTCACCTGTCCTCCAATTATAGCAAAACTGGGTGTGATGGACAAGTATAGATAGTTGCATACTTAGAAGATTTAAACAAACCATCCAGGTTACTCCCTATTTAAGTTTGGTTTAGGGATACCACAGCAATTTTCTCCTCAAAAATAATCATCTAGCACACTTGTACAATCATAAAAGTGAGTCATGTTTAAAATCAGGTGTTTATACTCCCTTTTGTGAGATGGCAGTTGAGATGGAAGGGAGTGGACATGATTTAGTTTTAGCAAAATAGGGAAGCTATGCAAGAAATCACGTATTCTGCTTGCTATTCAACAAGCATATATGAGCAAGTTATTAGACTGGACAAAAAAATATAGTATTCTATTTGAGTGGTATCCCTCATTATTTCCCAAATGATCCAAGTTCAGAGAGAGATGCTATATAAGAAAGGGTGCCAGCATGGTTGCCAACTGACCACTACAGCAGAGAAACACCCAAGTCACAGGCAGGCCCCCACAGGGGTTTCTGGTAAAGTCTGTGGGTCACTTTTCCAGAGCTTTCAGGAGAGCCTTATGTAGAAACAATCATGCAGGACAGAACATACTCTACTGATGAAAGAGAACAAGAAATGTATAGACAGTAAAGGGGGCAAAACAAACAGAACTCTTATGAAACTTTATTTCTCATGTCAACAAAGTACAGAACCTACACAGCACCAAGTCAGAAAGCACTAGCCAAGTTTGAAGTGTACTCTCAATAGTCTATTAATTCTGGTGCAATTTAGATATAGTTTCATAGTTTCGTTGCCACAGTACTCTGAATCTTACTGCATGCTCCAGACAACTCAAATGACATGTAGTTGCTAAAGTTTTAGTTGAAGAATACATGAATAATTAGAAAGGAAAAAGGAACAAAGGAACATTTACTGAGGTAAAACATCACAAATACAAAATCCCAAGTTTAATACTGTTCTTCTTTTAGTCCATTACTTCATTTGGTCTATTCTTAAGCAATTATTCTATTTCCAAATACCACTTTTCCTTAAAACGTAAGAAATAAGACAGATGCGGAAGAAGAAATATGTAAAGATCAGATGTTCTTAACTTAACTAGCCAGTCCTTTCTTACAGCAAAGTAGTGATGCCTCCTAACACTGAATCCTGCTCTCCTAGCAACTCTTCTTATTTCCTTCTGAACAAGGCAGGGATTTACACCTCTCTCTGAAAGTCAGATGGGGAGCAAAAGAGTCCACAGATAAGGTATCTTAAATTTAGATATATAGAACAGACCCGGAGCTGACTACCAGCACTCTGGGACATGAACTTCGGGTTACAACAGAGCTGCCTATGACAGTAACAGCTTCTTGGCACTGAGCTGACAAGAAAAATAAAACTGAATGACACAGACTATTAGAAAGACATGCAGAACAAAAGTGGAAAAATACATCACACAGTAATTCCGTCATGCATCCTATATCAACTCAATTCTGTGCGCACTTCTGGTTTGTTTTCATCTTCCAATACAACAGGTCTAGAGAGATACAGAAAATGGCAACATGGGACAAATACAGCACAGCTTCTGGATGAGGAACATCTAAAAAAAGGCACAAAAGAGATGGATGGAAGCAGGAGAGGACAGACCTCCACAAGATCATGAGTGACACAGGAAAGGTAAATATGGAACAACTTCTGGTTGTTCTGAGAGTCAGAGACATTCAGGAAAAGAAGAGAAGGGCAGCTTCAAAGCAAACAAACAAAAAAAAGCTATTTCTTCACAAAATGTGTAATTAAGCTTAAAATTTAATGTTGCTGGGCAAACTAAGGGAAGAAAATCCATGACAAACTCCATATTCGAAGATGCAATTTCTAACTCGGGAGCTCCTAGACCATGAAATCACTGAAAGACAGAATGGTAAGCAAGCATACAGTGATACTCCTGCAGCACTTCTCATATATTCTTGTCTAAGCATCTGCTGTTGACCCACTGTCAATACTGGGTTTGATATGATGCCCATTTGTTTGCCCTTTCATTAACGTAAGCTCCAAAACAACTGCAGATAAAGGGTCTTCTTAAGACACTGGCGCATTGTGCAGGGACTTTCAAAGAAGCATTTGAGATCCAGTTTTCCTTGAGCAAGTACCACGGTAGTGAGTTGTTCTTATGTTTTTCCTCCATTCTTCTCCAGGATGAGCTTTGAGAAGGCATAGACAGCAGCATTAGACAGATTTACAGGAACTTTGATTCCAGAATCATGCTCCAATACTGAGTTGAAAATGCAAATAATGCTTCCTATCTGTTAAGATTTTGAGGTAGTGACTACAACAGGTCTTGCAGCATCCAATTTCAAACTGATACCCAAAACACAGTAGAGCTATGTATTAAATTTTCCAAATAATACATTATAATCCACTGTGTATTAATTTTTCAAACAATACATTATAATCCATGTGCAAATACTGCATTAACTCCAGTGGAGCTAAACATTTATTTATAGATCATTGCTTGTGTAACCAAAGAGGCAGTAAAATACGCAGGAAGGTTTTACCACAAAACTTAACGGTTACTAAAGAAATAAGATAAATAAAATCTTCTGTTAAGCAACCAATAATGCTGTAAATTAAACAGAAGTTTGTGGTAGGCTAATCTAAAGGAATAAAAAAAAATGTCTTGCATCTTTGATCACGTCTTAAAGTTAATATTTGATTTTGTGCATTAAACTTTTCATCTCACATACTCATGACCATACCATAATATAAAGTTTAAGGCTGCTCAACACTCTTACTATGCACTTGGAGATCATCTTTTAAGTGATTTAAAACCTGTTTTGAGCACAGACTCTTCAGAAATCTTCATACACCTCAGATCTCCATCAAGGAACCAGTTATGCCAACGTCCAGCTGAAAAGTGTGAGTCGCAAGACTGGCTCATAACAGGAGTTTCACACACCTCTCAAATCACTACAGTGACATTATTTCAAAATTATTTAATGTTTGCTCTCCCCTCTATCCAGAATTGCCTAGAAAATAAATAAATTGCCTACTCTTCACCTTGAAGATTAACTATTCCTTTAAAAACAAAAAGCCCAAAGCCCACCTCTTTCTAGCAATTCCGTCAGTAAACAAATGACTGACCAACTTGTAGGTTCTTCGTAACACAGCCTTTTCTAATGCAATAACAAAAATCCAATACTATTTACCTAGAGCAGATGAATCCCTCTAAATAATTTCCACCAACATTAATATTGCCTACAGAATAGCCAAATCGCATCCCCAAAACTCAACCACAGAGTAATCAGCAGTTACCGAATCCTGTCACAGAGAGAACAGGTCAGGCATATAGAAGTTATTTTTAAATGATCCTAATTACAACATAGTTTTAATTGTGGGTAACAGCAATAGAGACCTAACGTTAGCTGTAAGTTTCAACAACTGAAAACATTTTTAATAAAGACAAAAGAATCATACAAGCTCAGTAAGAACTCCCCTCATTCCACATTTATTTACAGGATCTCATCCAAAGTCCCCAGTACAGTGCAAGAAGACCAGGTTTGCCATTCTTGGTGAGAGGATCCCATACCATAACTCCTTTTTCCAGGCAGTCTATTTTTAAGCTTTCTTCCATCCTATTTTTTGCTTGTCTTTTTTATTTTTAAAAGACATTTCTTTATAGTGTTGAATGG